TATATGAAGAGGAATAAACCTGTCTCTCTGAAAAATATAGGGTTGTAAACCAAAATTTCCTCAATACAAATATAATACAGTAAAATAAGAAAAATAGGGGGCCTCCTTGGTGGTGCAAGGGGTTAAGCACCGCACTATGAAGCAAATCTGCAGCCTCTGCAGCATGAATTCAATCGCCAGCCAGCCAGGGAGCAATCCACATGACAAAGCAGACCTCTCCTGTCTTGCCCACTGCTCTGCTCAACAGTGTATTTGAGTCAGTCTGTCTGTTCTGTTCCCAGCTCTGTCTCTGGTGAGTCCTCTCACTCCCTCACCCCCATCTCTGGCCTGTACTCCAGCTCTTGTATGCATAAATAAATATTTTAAAAAATATGAAAAATATAACAGTAATTACTAAGTCAAAATTTTGGAACAAAATAAACAGTCTGGAATAAATTCACCAAAAAAAGAGTTTCAGCTGTTTTCAATTTGATCCAGTAAGAACAAGTTTGAACCAGTTGGAACTGATTTCAGCTGTTTTGAACCCGTTTGAGCTGGTGAGTAATGGTTTTAGTCTTTGGAGCCAGTTATAGCCAGTTTCAGCTGGTTATGTCTGGTTGGAAGCGGTTTGAGCCATTGGCTCTGGTTTGAGCCAGTGAGAACCAGTTTCAGCCGGTTTGAAGCATTGTGCCAATGTCAGTTGTTTTCAGTTTCAGTCAGTTGGTTTCAGTTTCAATGTATTTCAATGTGCTTCAAGTGAGAACCGGTTATAGCCACTTTGAGCTGGTCAGAAACACTGTCACTTGGTTTCAGTGTTTTTCCAGTTGATTTTTATAATAAATGATTTCACCTGTTTTCAGTTTGAACCCATTAGAGTTGGTTGGAACCAGTCAGAACTGGCTTGAGCCAGTCAGAACTGATAGGAGTTGGTCAGAACCAGTTTTAGCCAGTTGGAACGGGTTTGAGCAGGCCAGAACCTGTTTGAGCCAGATGGAATTCATTTGAGCCGATCCAAACCATTTTCAGATGGTTTGAAGCATCGAAGCTATTGTCAGTTGGTTTTAGTTTCAATGTGTTTGAACACGTGAGTCCAGTTACAGTCATTTTGAGACAGTTGGAGCCCATGGGTCACTTGGTTTCAGTGTTTTTCCTATCAGTTGATTTTTAAAAGAAACAGTTTCATCTGGATTTGGTTTGGACTGATTAGAGCTGGTTGGAAGTAGTCAGAACCAGTCTGAGCCAGCCAGAACTGGTTAGAGCCCGTTGGAGCTGGTTTAAGCCAGTTGGAACCGATCAGAACCGGTTTGAACCGGTTGGAACTGTCAGAACTTGTTTGAGCCAGTCGGAACTAGCTTGAGCTGATCAGAAACAGTATGAGCTGCTTGGAACTCGTTTGAGTCGGTCAGAACTGGTTTCACATGGTTTTAGGCATTGGACCTAGTGTCAGTTGGTTTCAGTTTCAATGTGTTTGAACAAGTGAGATACGGTTACAGTCATTTTGAGACCGTTGGAGCCTGAGTCACTTGGTTTCAGTGTTTTTCCTTTCAGTTGATTTTTATTTATTATTTATTTATTTATTTATTTATTTATTTATTTTTTTTGTGGGACCCTCGCTGGCGTCCGGGGAAGGAACCAGCGCTGCAGAGGCTGCAGGCAGTCTCACAGCCCAGCGCTCAACCACTGCGCCACCGGGGAGGGCCTCAGTTGATTTTTAAAAGAAACAGTTTCATTTGGTTTTGGTTTGGACCAATTAGAGCCGGTTGGAACCAGTCAGAACTGGTTTGAGCCAGTTAGAACCAGTTGGTTGGAATGATTAGGCCAGTCAGAGCCAGTTGGAACTGGTTGTAACTATTTTGAGCCAGCAGGGACCAGTTTGAGCCAGTTGGAAATGGTTTAAACCGGTCGGAATGCGTTTCAGGCAGTCTTAACCAGTTTTCATATGGTTTGAGGCTGTGGACCTAGTGTCAATTGGTTTCACTTTCAATGTGTTTGAACAAGTGAGAACTGTTTACAGTCATTTTGAGACAGTTGGGGCCTGGGTCACTTGGTTTCAGTGTTTTTCTTTCAGTTGCTTTGAAAAGAAACGGTTTCAGACATTATCAGTTTGAATTGGTCAGAACCACTTTTAGCCAGTTGGAACCAGTCTGAACCTGTTGGAACCAGATTCAGCTGGGTCAAACCGGTCAGAACCACTTTCAGCCAGATTGAAGCATCAGAGCCAGTGTCACTTGGTTTCGGTTTCAGTTGGTTTCAGTCTTAATGTGTTTTAAGAAGTCAGAAATGGTTACGGTCATTTTGAGACATTGGAGCATGTCACTTGGTTTCAGTAGTTATCCTTTCAGTTGCTTTAAAAAGAAATGGTTTCAGCCATTTTCTGTTTGAACTGGTCAGAGCGGGTTTCAGCTGGTTGGAATAGGTCAGAAACAGTTTCAGTAGGTTAGTGCCGGTTGGAACTGGTTTGAAACTGTCAGGATCAGTTTTAGCTGGCTACAGTTGGTTGGAACCAGTTTGAACCAGTCCTAAACAGATTCATCCAGTTTAAAACTGGTTTGGACTGTTTTGAGATAGTAACAACCAGTTGGAGCCAGTAGAGACTGTGTCAGTGCCAATTGAGGCATCACAGCCAGTGTCAGTTGGTTTCAGTTTCAATGTTTGAACAAGTCATAATGGTTACAGCCATTTTGAGACAGTTGGAACCAGTGTCACTTGGTTTCAGTGTTTATCTTTTCAGTAGCTTTGAAAAGAAACGGTTTCAGCAGTTTTCTGTTTGACCCAGTCAGAACCAGTTTCAGCCTGTTTGAAGCATCAGAGTCAGTGTAAGTTGGTTTCAGTTTCAGTTTCAATTAGTTTCAATTGCAATGTGTTTGAACAAGTCAGAAGTGGTTATGACCATTTTGATACTGTCAAAGCCAGTTCACTCGATTTCAGTGTTTTTGCTTTCATTTGCTTGGAAAAGAAATGGTTTCAGTCATTTTGAATAAGTCCAAGTCACTTTCAGCCAGTTTGAACCAGTTGGAACAGGCTTCAACTGATCTGAACTGGTCTGAACCAGTTTGAACTGGATCTAACCTGTTATAACAGGTTTGAGCTGTTTGGAACTAGTTTCAGGTGGTCTAAACTGGTTTCAGTCTGTTTGATGCAGTCAGTTGATTTCTCGTTCATTTTCAGTTTGTTTTAGTTTTTAAATTTCATTGTTTATTATTAGGTCATATTTCTTTTAATGCCACCTGTCAAGAGCTTATCCATCATTAAAACATAGTTTAAATGTCACTTACTTTGAGACATTAACCATCCCCCTCCAAGCAAACCATGAATATTGTTCTTTCTTTGTGCTTGTTAGCAAGATCGCTGTAAGTATAAAATGTTATTTTTCATCTTTTTTCCCCAGGATCAAGCACAATACATGTTACATGGTAATCAAATATGCCTGGCTTAAGATCTCATAAAAATAGAAAGTATAATGGTAGTTGCCAAGGACCACATGGTGAAGAAATGGGAAAATGTTGTTCAAAGGGTATAGATCTCCAGTTTTAAGATAAGTAAATTCTGGAGAATCATGATGACTATAGTTAATAATATTTATTATATACTTTAAATTTGCTGGAGTAAATCCGAAGTGTTTTCATTACCAAACAATAGTAATTAGTGAGGTGATAGAGGTGTTAATTAATCTTATTGTAGTAATCATTGATCAATATATATGTCAAAATATCATGTTGTATACCTTAAACTTATTCAGTTATATGTTAATTGTATTTCAATAAAGCTGGAAAAAGAAAATAGGGAAAAAACAAGATATAACTGGTTTGCAATGACTAACAGTAAGATATGGAAAATTGCTAGAAAAAAATTACAAATTGAAGGCAGAGTTCATAGAAAGCAGATTTAAAACAAATAAACAAATTAAAAAACCCTTCTTTTTAAGTGGTAGACATTGCTGCATGTACTTCATGTTAAATATGACAAGTATTTGTTAAAAATTTGGTTTATTATCTATTATATATTATGAAATCTGTTAGTAAAGTTGAGTGTGTCTTTTAATATTGTCAAAGCTGTAGACAGACCTGGCAAAGACAAAATGCATGAAGGATATTTACTGGGAAAATAAGTACTGAAATCCACAGAAAATTGGTGGTGGTGGGCTAAATGTGGTTACTGGCTTAACTGCTGTAACTTTCTCCACAACTTGCCAGAAATCCAGAATCCCAGGCAATACTCTTGACCTACTGAATCAGAACTTGCATTACAGCAAAATTACAGGGTGATTCATTTGTCCATTTAAAACACTTAGATAAAGATACCGAGCCTTTTTTCGAAGGATCCTGTAATAATTCTACAGTTATGGTTTACGTCCTAATGGAGGAAGCAAAAATGCAACCCTATTTGTCTGTCTCACTAAACCACCTTAATGCAGTGAGGAGAATGACAAATCCTTGAGTCTAATTCAACCAGGGTTATTGGCTTTTAATGGATGATCAGAATGTCAAATAAATTTGAGGGATTTTTTAAGTTTTTAAGTGACCATTTATCTGAATGTCAGTAGTTGTTTAATTCTTCAGAGTTTTCAAACTTCAAAGATTCACTTGTGCATTTTATTCAATTCATGTGTTAATGTTCACTTTGGACATCTCACCTGGGGAAGCCATGTGAAAGAACTTTCTTTATCAGGACCAGTCAACTTCCAAAAAGTAATGAAGCTAGAACAGTGGTGATTTATTGGTAGTTATTTGTAGTGGACTGAGAAAAAGGATGTTGGCTTGTTGCTTTTCATGTAAAGAGAAAAATTCCTCGGGCGGGAGTTTCTACGATGTTACTGAATGCCTCCATAACAAGCATCAAGGAGTTAGTTTTCAAAATTTATGACAAATTTTATAGCGTGTTATCCACTAGATGTGAACCACATGATTGTCAATGAACATTATTTTTCATATAAAAGGAGTTTTTAAATTAATTTTTAACTGAGGTAATATTTGGATACCCCCATCAGGTATCACTGCACAATGCACCGACCAGCAACTCACCCATATTCCATCTCCACGGATCATTGTGTTTCCTTTCCTCTTAGTTCTGTCCCCTCCCCATTGGTGCTTCAGTTCTATAGTCAGCAATCAAGAGTTAGATTTCAGCTTGTGTTTATCTATTAATTTAGTTACTTTACATGCTACATATTATTGACACCATCTGGCATGTGGCTGTCTCTAAAAGGATAGTCTTATGTCTTGAAGAACAACTTAGAAGAGGGACTGACATTCACCTTATCCTCTGTTATATATCATAAGCATATAAGTCAACAGATTTCTTTTTTCCTGAGGTTTCCTTATGTCAAGGTCAAAAATATAGAAAGGAAAAAACTGTATTCCTCTTCTCTTTTTGATCTGATAAAAGCCCACAAATGAAATTAATATTGATTTACACTAAGACAGATGTTTTAGGTGGGTATATGTGTTCATAGTAGGTCTGTTATTGATGGCATCACTAGAAAGTAGAATCATGATTCAGTCATAGAAAAAAGAAAGAATTTAATTTGTAAGACTTCAGGCCATAACTAGAACAAATTGTTTTTTCAACGATAATTCAAACAACACAAACAATCAGTATGACTGTTGGAATCATTTACCTGTTTTTTTTTTTTTTTCAAATTCTAGATATTGCTTATATCTATAGCCACCTGCAGTGAGTAGAATAATGGTCCTTTGAAAGTTGCACATCCAAATTCTTGAAAATTGTAAATATGTTAGTTTAATTTACATGGCAAGGATGAATTAAGCTTGCAGTTGGAATTAAGGCTGCTAATAAAACAGACAGATTGGCCTGAATTGTGTGGGTAAGCCCACTATAATCACAAGGATCCTTAAAAGTGGGGGTGGGTGGTAGAATTGAGAACCAGAGAGAGAGCAGCATGAAAAATGACTCAGCTGACATTGCTAGCTTTGAAGATAGAGGAAGGGGGTGGTCTTTAGAAGTTGCAATGATAAGATAATGGGTTCTGCCCTAGTGCCCCAGAAAGAAATACACCAACAGATACCTCAATCTTAGTCCTGGGAGGTATTTTGAACTTCTGATATTCAGAAGTGGAAAATAATAAATATGTGCTGTTTAAGCTGCTAAATTTCTCAAGTGTCCATAGCAGCAATATAAAACTAGTACACCCCCTTGTTATGACTTTTACTTCTCCCACTGTAACTTCAAAATAATAGCTACTGAGTAGCATATATTGAGTACCTACTCGAAACCCCAAATCTATTATTTTGATTTTCACAAATAAAAAAAAAAATTAAATTTTTAACAAGGATATTAACCCTTACATAGATAACATCATCAAGTGATGGTTAATGAAAATTTAAACATAGGTATTTCTGATTTATTTCCAAGTCTCAACATTTTCTACAATAGACACTGTCTCTTAGATAGTAAGTATAATCTTGCTAGAGATGAAGTACTTAAATCACTAAGTCATGACTATAAAAGAACTGTGTTGCTATGTGTTATTCTTCAGAAACAATCCATAAATTTTGTAATTAAATACATTAGTTATTATAGAATACAGTAACAAAAACCTGAGTAAAATAGAAAATAAGTAAATGTGCACCTGTCCTTTTATGGAAACCCTTAGGATTTTTTACATGAATTATTACTAGCGCTGCTCTCAAACAGTTGTTCTAAGTTTATAATAAATGACCAGAAAGGTCAAATTTGTGGGTCAAATGCTATTTTGCAAATTCATAAGTACTTCTTCCACAAGAAATAGAAATATTCTTTCCTAACTAATAGAGCTATGAATGCATTTCCTTAGGAGAGATCTACTGCTATGATTATGGTGGAATAATCATTATCACCGTTCGTTCTTTATCAGCACAGTATCCCCTCAAGCATTGTTATGTCTGCACTTGTACAAAGTATTTTTTAGTCCTCTTTTGTCTCCTGGTGGCCTCATTATCTGGTACAAAACTGAAAATCTCATTTTACAGTCTGTGATGTCGCTCTCTATTTTCCCTTTATGGCTTCTTGTTCTTTTGCTGGGAAGGTGGGGGCGGTGGGGGGGCTTGCTAAGGGAAAGATACCAGGACAGTATTATTTCTGCTGGAAATAGTACAGATAACTTCGATGAAAAGTCAAGCACTCTTGTTTCCAACATCACTATTTTCCGATAGCTGATTCAATAGCTCAGCAGGCACTTTCAGTGCCATCTTGCCAGGTATGCGATTTTCACTTGATATGTAATTCGGATCTTGGCCTCTCACTTCCCTAGCTGTCAGAATACCGGCCTCTAAGAGCAGCAGATCGCTCAGATCCTAGAGGGAAAGAATTGACTCCCATTCTTCAACACACCATTAAGGAAGGAATCCCATCTGCTAAACTCCGGAGTTTCTATGTTCCGATATGACGGAGGATGGCAAGACATTAGAGTTGTGGCAAAATTAATGAGGATTTAGTGAGGAAAACAAGTGTTATGGTGATGATTTGGAGCTAACGAGAAATATTTTCTTCTGTTTTAGAAATAATACTTTCAAAGGAATTGAAATTTTAATAAAAATAAATTCTTATTCTCTAATAGGCAGACTTAAAAATGTTTATGGTGGATAAATATTTTCTACTTCTTTTCTGGCAAAAGAAACATTCTATAAATTTTTTTTTCAATATGTTTTATTTCAAGACTCCCTCTTTGCTTGACTCTGGAAGGCTAAAAATTATTATTCAAACATGAATGTTTTATAACTGGGATATATTTTAAAATATATACAAATTTTTTGAAAGTCTGTTAGTCTCAGGGAAGAGCTGAAAAATTTTAAACGTGTTTACATGGTACTCAAGGAACAGAATAAATTTTTGCTGCCATGTAAAGACAAAAGTAATTATTATAATTCATGATGTGTTAATATTTGGTTTGGGTACGATAATACCCAAATCCTTCCTTTCCTAAGATGTTAGCTATATTCGAAAACTTTCAAGATATTTTGGAAGACATACAAATTCCTCTAGTCACCGTTGCTTGAGTTTATTTGGAAATGAAGAACAAACTTGTACAAGGTTACAGAACACTCTCATATCTTAAATTTACTCAGAGTATGTTTTGAGAGCAACAGTTAAATCATTGTATTTTAGTATTGACTCTACCCATATTGCAGTAATTTGCTTTCCATTTGGCTTGCCAAATCAGAATTTACACATGCAAGCTGTAAGAAAAATGAAAAAGTAAAAGAGAAAGATGAAACTAAAGCAGTATCTGTTCTGCTGCTCACCCACAAACACTTCTAAATCTCCCAGGACAAATACCTTTGAATCAGATAATAAGTCCCACAGCTGTGTACTATTTTGTTCACATTCTGCTTGGAAATCACTACTACATTGCCACTGTCTGCTTGGAAATTCATCATTATATTCTTGTGCCATTTATACTTCCTGTTTTCATAATAGGAGCTTTCATTTTTACTTAAGCTGCTTTGCACTATTGATTTGAATTGTGATAATCTACCTTCTTTTAATCGAGTTCGCTATTACATGTTGCAGTGATATTTACAGTTTCTCCCAAGGAACCCTTACACCCTTACCTCCTCTTCCAGGTTTTGAAGTCCTTCAGTGTTGCCCAGACTCAAGGAATCTCTATATTCAGACCCCTTAAATCTGGTGAGGAAGAACAATGTACTGAAAACTCATGATGACGTCTTCATTTTGCCTTAATGACTCAGTGAGTAAGTAAATTGGAAAATAATGCTTCTAAAGTACTGTTGCTAGGAGATTGTTTAATGGTGCAACACAGGAAAGATTCTATGTTCAGGTTAATCCCCAAAATGTAAATGGCTCTTTCTGTCAAAGACACCAGCATAAAACAACATCATTCCTGCGGCAAAGGATAGACAGATTGTACAAAGAACAATCTCAGTGTAAAGAGAACTCAGATTTGAAAAGGAGAAGTCATTCCTGAAATAAGAAGGCAGGCAGGAGCAGGTATTTTCACACACCCAAAGAAGGACAAAATTACTGTGGTTTAAGTTCTTGAAATGCAGGTTAAGAATTAGGCATGAGAGCCCTGAAAAGAAGAATTACCATTCAAGAACTAGGTTTGAGGCAACAAAGAGGAATATATAGTTATTAGAAGGAAATGTTAGATGCAGATTCTTTTATCTGATTGGTAAAGTATTCCACTACTTTTCTATGAGGTCACCACATTTTTATTCCAGAATTCCACAGTTCATCCTTGCTTGGTTTTATGCTGTATATAATTATGCTCAATTTTTTTGTACAGTATAATTCACACTCTAGAATGTTGGATTCAATCATTTTCAACTAATCCTTTTTATGTCACCATGAAGTTGCATTAAAAAAAATAGTCTTTTTTAATTTTTAAGTGAAATTATTTTTATTGAGAAGGTAATAGTGGTCCCTAGAACTGTACGTATTTTAGGAGCATAGATACACACCTCTGTAAATATTTCTGATCACATTACATCCACCACCAAGGCTCCAAAACATCCATATTCGTACATTTGGTCCCCTTCCTCCTTTGCTTCTCTCTCTCCACCACTTCCCTCTGGTAGCCTCAATTCTGCATTTAACAGTTCGAGAGTTTGTAATGGTGCCTGCCTATTGGAATCCCTTCTAGAAGCTCACAGAACAGATTCCAGCATTTACTGTTTATTGTTGGAGTGATGGAGAATGATACCAAGGAGCAGACAGGTAAGTGGCATTCTTAAAGGAAAGCTGCTTTTTTAAAAAGCTTTGTTTTCTCTGTGTCTAGAATAAACTGAGAAGGGAGTGATGTGCTTTGCTGCATTCAACATCTGCTCTGCATCATCTTTATGCAACAGTAACCAAGCAAGACCAAGATGAGAATTCTGTGATGGGAGTTTCTATAAACCTTGTAGAACAGCATGGTTAGAAAGAGCTTGGCCTCTGGAGTGAGACTGCCTGCACTGAAATATTGGATTTACTTGCTTTTTTTTTTTTAATTAGCGAGGATAACTTGCAGCTACTTTTGTTTAGAGGCCGCCCATCTGTCCATTTTCTCCACAGCTACCATCTTCCTAGAAATACCTCTATTTTTTTTTTTCAAGATTTATTTATTTAGGCATACAAGAGCTGGGGTACAGGCCAGAGAGGTAGGGGGGTGGGTGATAGGATGCACCAGAGACAGAGTGGGGAACAGAACAGGCAGATTGACTGAAACACACTGCTGAGGGGAGCAGCGGGTGAGACAGGAGAGGTCTGCTGTGCCATGTGGGTAGCAACCTGTCTGGCCAGGGATCAAAACCATGCTACAGTGGCTGCAGGTAGTTTCATAATGCAGTGCTTAACCCCTTACACCACCAGGGAAGCTCCCAACCCTCTATTTATTTTTGATAAAAGATTATTTATTGTTATTAGTTCTTTGGCCAAAGAGAATATATATCATGATGATTTTTTTATAGAAATATTTTAGGGTTGGGGATAGAGACTGGTAAGTAGAAAGTTTTAATGATGTTGAGAGTTTTTATGTCATAAATTATGAGTGTGTATGTGTGTGTGCTGCACTGCTTTTGAAAGATTAAGAATCTTGGAGCTTCAACTGACTGGAAGGAGGGATATTGGGAGCAGCAGATCTTGGGGGTGAGGGTCAGAGGATATTTTCCTGTAGAAATGAGGCAAGAGTGTCTTTCCTATGCTGGTCATATGGCACCCAGGGTTAGCTTCAGGCACACAAACCACATGGCATGGTCTCTCCTAAACATGAGGCAGAGGGTACATTGTAATCTTTTGAATTGATTTATTCTCTTTTACCTTCAGAAGAAATTTAAATTGTTTGAATACAAAGTAACTTTGTTGAACTATCATTATATACTTAACCTAAGCTTAGATTTCTGTTTGCAGATACATTATAACAGATATATTTTAACAGATTAATCATGCATTATTAGGATGAAAATGTCTCTGACATATTTGCTTGATTTTGGAATAAAAGCAGCCAAAGAGAAGGTAACCAAAATTTCAGTTAAAAGCACAAAAGGATGGTCATGAATTTGAAATAACAGAAAAAAATCCAGGATTGATTCTGCTATTGGAAGAATTTTTCAAATAGATATCTAATGGCATAAATTTCCCATAAACGATCGTGTATTTTCACCAGTATGGAGATTTATATTAGACCTTTCTTAGTTTTGTTTGTCCTTAGAGTGGTAACTGAGGTAATTTTCAATTGAATTAAAATAAGCTGTAGGCATTTCTTCACGGATCATAGTACACTTTAATAATAAGGCCTATTACGTTAACAGGGAAGAGTGATTCTAACAGATGACATACCTGATGCATCCCTTGGTGCCCATTTATAGTGGTTAAATGGGATTTAGTGAATTGTTAACAAACCAGTACAATTTGTATCAATGTATTTTATTGCTAATTTTGAGATAAAATATTTCTATAAATCGAATTTCTAATGTAATATCATCTAATTCAAATATTATTTTGTCAGTAATTAACTCAAGAATAGATGAGTAAGGTGGAATAACTTAGCTTTGTATGTGTAATAGATAAGAATATACAAGTGATTAGAGCTATTCTGAAATGGAATACCATACTTACTTTAAAATATAGTGAGTTTCCTTTTATCAGAAACATTTAAACAGTGCTAAGTAACGTATTTGTTATTATATTCTATGTCTCCTTCCTTTGGAGGTAATGTTCTTATTCTCTGGAAATTTTTCAATTTTTTTTTGTGTTAATATTCTATAATTTCCCAATTATGTCTTTGGTGTTGGGTATTTAAAAGCTTCTTCTGGGGCCTCCCGGTGGCGCAGTGGTTGAGCGCTGGGTTGCGAAGCTGCCCGCAGCCTCTGCAGTGCCGGTTCGATCCCCGGCTGCTCCCCAGTCACCGGAGGAGGGTCCCACATGGCGCGCAGACCTCTCCTGCCGCCCGCTGCTCCCCTCAGCAGTGTACCTCGGTCCTTCTGCCTGCTCTGCTCCCCGCTCTGGCTCTGGTGAATTCTCTCACCCTCCCGCGCTTCTGACTGTACCCAGTGCTTGTATAAATAAATAAATAAATAAATAAATAAATAAATAAATAAATAAATAACTCTTTAAAAAAAAAATTTCCCTTTAGTATCACAGATTCTGGGGAAAAATTATAAGGCACAGATATACCTGTATAAAGGGTTTTTCCTGTCACTGGGACATGATTCAGAATTTTCTGAAATGCCAAAATTCTCTCAGTCACATGCTACTATTGGGATTATCATATGGTAAAAATCTGGAAGAAAATTGACACTTAGATTGTATATTTCTTCCTCTAAACTCCCATTGATTCTCTAGTTTCCGTATATACTCTGTATTCTCAGACTTCTAAGCGAAAACTTTTACCACCTTCATGATGATGAGGGCATCTCCTAGGTAGCACCATTCAATCTTCATATACAACTACATATGCTGTTTTCTGCATTTATATCTCAGAGCTAAACAATAAATTTCTATGAGAACATATCTTACTACCTTTGTATTTCTGTATATTACTACCTTTGTATTTCTATATATTCCTAGAGTTCCATTCCAAATATATATTACATACGTATACACATATGTGTATGTGTGTGTATATATATATATATATATATAAAATTGTATTGGAACATTTATAACTGTATATAAATTATGTACAAACATTAGTTATGCATTATAAATTAAATGTACTTAAATTGCATATGCATCTCTCTCTCTCTCTCTCTCTCTCTATATATATATATATATATATATATATATATAGGGTTCCTTACTGTATTTATGTCCGTTCTGTTTTTAGTCATACTGTACTGGTTTCTCACTTACAGCATGCTATAGGCAAAGTGTTTTATAAATTGCTGTTTCTCTTCTATTAGTTTCCACAGCATTACCCTCTCCATTCTTTCTTTCCTCCTGAGACATCTCTTTGGACTTTGAGAGCAATTGGTCTGCCATTTGGTATTAGTTGATCCAGCTTCTTAGTTTGCTTCCTTTTTAACACCGATAGCAGTCTCCTACTTCTTTCTTATCTACACTGCAGTATCTCCATCTATAGTAGGTTTCAATTAAAGCAAAAGTCCTAAAATTTCACATTTATATTTGAACATAAACAGCTACAGTTACAAAATAATCATGTATGCCCCCCCCCAGGAAATGTAAATGCTATCTTATAAGATCAATAAAAGGATTTCCAAGGATCTCTGACATCAACATAGCTAGCAATTCATAATATTATAGTGTAAAAAAGACATCTACACAGAAAGAAAACACCAGGATTAACAAACTGATATGTCAGGTCTTTGTCCTTTGGGTTGATTGTTTGTGTGTGTGTGAGTGTGTGTGTGTATTCAGATATCCCCCTTCTCTGATTTCTGTGATTGGCAGGGTTTATGATGGTAGGTAGATGGATCATCAATAAATATTTGAAAGTGCTTACCTTGCTAAGAGCCTAAATTGTTGTTTTAAGTTCATATTAGAGTGCCTTCCAAATTTTGAATTCATCTTATGATGATTTTCCACTTTACTTCTCTACAAGGCAAAATATAGAATCATTAAATAGGAAACAAAAGATGAGACCATTTATCAGTTTGTGTTTAAATAGAATTCCTAACCAGGTCAAGTCTATCAGCTTCACAGATTATAGAAGCACCTGTTTATTTGTAATAGTGCAAGTGATATGCCAAATTTAGTATGGAGAATAACTATAGAACACTCATTATTTGAAAGAATCTTTTTACTAATAGCTGATATTTATTAAAAACAAATCAGTTTTATAAAGCAAGAACTATTTAGTACTTATTAGTTATGAAATACATGCATAACAACCCCAGAAAAAAGGAACCCAAAAGACTTTTATTTATATGCATTTTAAATGGAATGGAAAACCTGTCTATAAATCTGGTTTTGAATTTTACTATAATTGTGCTTTTCAAAGTAGATAATTAAATTGCTATGTCTTTGGGAAAGGTCAGCTTGTTGGGATAGCATAGATTAATCTCTCTAAGGCATTTGCTCTTAATAACCATGAATCGTGTTTCCTAAGCTTGAAGGCTTGGCAAGATTCCATCCAGCCTAAAATACTTTGAAATGACAGAAATTCAGTATGAAACACCCTAATAGTTTTATTTAATCACCAATTAACCTGCATAAGCACCTTTATGT